CTAAAATATTAAAAATCTCACTAGTCAGAACTGGTGTATGTGGTTAGCCCTGCACAATCATTGGCCAGGGGCATGACCATGATCATCTTAGACCAGCAGAGCTCAGCACATTTTTTCTGCAAAGGACCAAACAGGAAATAATTTAAGCTGTGAGCACTGTGCAGTGTCTATCCTACCTACTCAACCCTTCTGGGCTGGTACAAAAGCAACCTGTGTTCCAATAAAACTTTATTTACAAGAACAGGTGGTGGGTAGGCTTTGGCTGGAAGCCATAGTTTACAATCCCAGTTCTATACATATAGCCTTTAAAAATGTAGAAGCCAGAATCCGTGTCCAGCCCTGGCTTTACCACTTCCTGTGTGATCATAGATAGTTTAAACCCTCTGTGCTCCTATTTCCTTATTGTAAAAAAATTGAAAATGCTTAGAGCTTAAAACATAGAACCCAACTCAAAGTGGCACTAATGTCCTCTTGATAGTTTCAGGATCACCATTCACTTGTTTCAGTCCCAAATTCTTTTTATCATCTTGTTCTGCCCACCTCAGTGTATTGGCTTTGGACTTTAGGTTTGTCCCTTGTGGCCACAAATAAATGGCTACCCTAGCTCCAGGTAGCATATGTCCACATTGGGGGGGGGGGGTGAATCTAAAACTGGAAAGAGAAAACACTCCTTTCCTTCTTCCCTTTTCAAAATTATGACCCCAACCAAGTTATCTCTCCTCTCCTTGGTCAGAACTGTCACATGCCAACTCCTTAGCCAGATTTTAGCGACAGAGTCGTAGAGTCTTCTCAACAGAATTAGACCAATTTTAATCCCTATAGTTCTCAAATGATCTGCTCACGTCGAGGCAGGATTGCAAGTTTAAGTCAGAAAAAAAGAAAGGAAGAAAGAAGAAAGAAGAATTAGTAAAAGTTTTTAAGAAAGAAGTCTGATAAGTGTCTGTAATCAGAATCCATATTTCATTACATGATTTAATAAAATAAGTTTAATTAATATATTGAATGCATAAAATCTGAAAGAAAATCCTGTAACTTTTTTATCCTGGGGGCATCTCCAGTGAATAGTCTAAAACCTGATGATTCTGGAAAACATGCCAGCTACATTTGTAAGTATTGATATCATTATACTTCTTTGCTTGTTCTAGATGGTCCTAGAAAGAAATGAATGTAAGGTAAAGTAAAACAGGAAGCTCACTTTTTTTTTTTTTAATGTGGTGCTGGGGATTGATCCCAGGGGTGCTCTGTCATTTAGCTACACCTCCAGCCCTTTTTTGTTTTGTTTTGTTTTGTTTTGAGACATGGTAAATTGCCCAGGTCAGCCTTGAATTTGTAATTCTCTTGCCTCAGCCTCTGAGTCACTGGGATTACAAGTGTGCACCACTGCATCTGACCAGAATGTTCACATTTACATGCCTTGATTATCAGAAGAGGGTATCCTGAAGCCAATATTCAGATTAATCCCTTTGTTTGGTATCTTGGATTTATTACAACTTCTACCCATTCCCCGACACAGTGCTCCATAGAAAGATGCAAGGACACTGTGTACACACACGCGCGCGCACACACACACACACACACACACACACACATCTGTAATGCTGAAAATCGGTTATTATAAATTTAGGCATGCACGAGCATCCCCAGGTAGCTTTAGGGATATGTGATAATAAGTATAAAAATTCTAGGAGTTAATCCCCCAAAACTATCAGTAAAGCATGATCCTATTTTTAAACTGTTCTGCAACATTTGTTGGGGTCATTCTGCAGTTGGATAAGCAGGACAATCGTGTTTGTGTTACACAATTAGGTAGCACTAACGATGGACTCTGAGTTGTAGTCAGGTGCATGAGGAGCATCTCACTCCCGTCTGCCTAGGGAAAGAGGAGAGCAGCCACAGATCATCATGCCGCATGCCCGAGACCTGAGGACCTCAGCTGACCCTGGCACCTACAGGCCTTGGGTGAGGGTTAACTCACTGCAGAGCTGCTGTGGCCACAAAGCATCAGCGCTCCTCAACCCACTAGGTCTGCCACCTGAGGCTTTGAGCCTCTGCTGCTCCTCCATCTGGAACCTTCCTGGTCTGTGGCTTGCACTCATCTCCCAAGTCCCTTCCTTGGCCTCCCATCCCATATGCCTATGTAGCTTCCTTCCTAGCACCTCCCCTTGGTCATCTTGCGTACTCCAACATCTGCCTTCCTTATTGCTAAATTCTCTGGATCCAGGACAATGCCTGGTACATGGCAGGCCCCAAAGTCAATAAGAACAACCGAAAGGCAGGTGGACAACTGAGGGCAGGCTCCTTTCAAAGGGGAAGCAGATGGAGCATGAGGTCAGGATTTGGGGCCCATTTGGTGATAGGCTGGGGCATCCTGAAGCCCTCAGGCCCTCATTCTTATTTAAAAAATGCAAAGAGCAAATCCTGTGTGAAGTTATCCTGAGGACCTGTATGAAACATTCAGTACTCACATCCCAGGGCCTGGGATGGGGGGATGCAGAACATGTTATTCATCTTGTGATGTGTGCTGCTGGGGATTGAACCCAGGGCCTTAGGCACACAAGGGAAGCACTCTACCAACTGAGCTATAGCCCCTGGCCTTGATCACTATTTTTTAAAAACTGGGTGGTTGTTGGGTTTTTTGTTTGTTTGTTTTTGTTTTTTATAGCTACATTCATCAATCCTGGAAACCCATGAAAAACTAAGCCATATTACAACACTGAAAAATGTGACTCACATGGTCATGAGGACTAATTTCCAGCCTGTAACGTCAGATTTGAATGCAGTGGTTTCTTGGTTGAACAACAGTCCACTTGTAGGCTGGAAAGTGACATATATGAAAAAAATAACTTTTATGTCTTCATTATTTTGGAAATTTCCCTAGCATATACTTTTGGATATAGATATAGATATAGATATTCTTTTTTTTTTCCCTTGCAGTCTGAGGATCAAACCCAGGGCCTCCCAAGTACTAAGCAAGCTCTCTACCACAGAGCCACACCCCAGCCCTTGTATAAGCATTTGTATGCAGTTTTGATAAAGCTGATAAGGCAGTGAGATTCTTTTGTTCATTCTAAATTTAGAATATAAGCACTTTCAATTTTGAGGGGTGGAAGGAAGAAAGGGAAAAGAACCTTTCTTTTTTAGTGTTCTTGGATCCCTAATAGATTCAAGGACCTTAATAGTTTCTACAATAAACATTATTTCTAACATTTAGCTTTATCTTTCCTGATCAGCATCACATTTTTTTTTTTAATGAAATATTTTTGGAGCAGGACATACAGAGGCTAAAAGCATAGGCTTTGGGCCACCTAGAGAAAGCATCCGTAAACTTTTCCTGTAAAGGAATAGCCACTATATATTTTGGGTTTTGCAGGCCATATAGTCTGTCCTGGTAGTTCAAGCAGTCATAGGTGATACAAATACATATGGCTGTGTTCCAATAAAACTTTATTTACAAAAGCAGGCACTGAGCCAGATTTGGCCCTGGGGCTATAATTGTCAAGCCCTGATCTGGAATTTTATTCTGTCTCTAGCACCTTCTAGCTGGCTGGGTGATCTGACTGGACAACCAGTCTTCTGTAAATCAGAGATAATTATTCTACCTCATTAGGTTTGGATCATAAAGTGGATACATGTATAAAGTATTTATTCCACGTAAGGGTTCTATAAATGTTTACCTATCATTATCATTATTAGCCTCTCGGGGCAGTAGAGAAGGGAAGCAAGAAGTCCAGGCCACGCAATTAGCAAGCACTGAACCCTACCACACAGCCTCAGGAGGTGGTTTCCATTATTCAATTACTTTAACTTAGTCTCAGCTTAGCCTTTGTTCCAAAGGCCTCCTCCTGTTTTCCTAAGCAATTCCATTCAAGATGGAGTCTTGGAGTAAAAAAAAAAAAAGAGAGAGAGAGAACCAACATGCTCAAAGAACTGAAAGTGACCTTTGCCCCTCCTTTCTCCCTCTCAGAATCCAAAGAGGAAGAGACTGTCCCCAGGTGTGCCTTATCTTGTCCTGGCACTTGAGTTGGCCTGCAGAGAGCTCTTGAAGTCACACCAGGGAGCCCTTTCCTTGGCAGACAGCTTTGCTCCATGAGCACCCGGTAAAACTCTTCACTTAATCCTTCAGGCAACTTCTCAGAGGAAAAAGAACTCTTAGGATTCCTTCTTTTCTTTCTTTGGACATTTTTCTTATGTTGGGGTTTCCCACTCAAATTTTTAGAAGTTCCAGCACCAGGCCCTTGGCGCTGCTTCCCATTTTTGGAGGGTGATTGTCAAATGCCACCTGGTATGTACACCTCCCTTTCTTTCTTTCTTTCTTTTTTCTTTTTCTTTTTTTTTTTTGAACCCAGGGATGCTCAATCACTGAGCCACATCCCCAGCTCTTTTTATTTTTTATTTTGAGACTTTTTAAATTGCTGAGGCTGGCTATGAACTCATGATGCTCCTGCCTCAGCCTTCCAAGTTCCTGGGATTACAGGTAGGCACCACCTCCAGGCTCACCTCCCTTTCTTATTACTGGTGTATCTTCCTAGACCCTGCCTCTTTTTTCCTAACCAGCAGGAGAGCTTCCCCCATGCTCAAAATAAACAGCAAATGAGAGTGTGAATTTCAGTGACAAATACAACAGGTCATTTTCCAGCCTCCTTTCATTTTGACTTGGATGGGTAGCTTCTAGGGCTTTCCTGCTCTGATAGCTGCAGGCCCAGCTCCCCTTTCACGTTGGCCTTGTAACTTCTCTTCCTGAATTAATTTTTTTCAATTAGCTTGCTTGCTACAAGGCAGATGGAGGGGTCCTCCTCTTTAACTCAAATTTCCTTCTTCCCAGGCACAACAGCAATTTGCTACACACACACATTGCAAGATGAAGGACAAAAAGACTTCACTAGCGGAGCAAAAGACTCAGTCAAATACATGATTTCACCAGGTTTTCCAACTGTATAATGAAATCAGACTCCTCCCCTGGGAAGAGAGATCCCTCCCCCTCCTACTGCAAACACAAAATTCCACCCACTTCTTTCCAAGGACACACTTTGTTCTAAATCCCAACGGCTTCACTCTCCCTCGAACACACAAAAAGAGCAGGAAGCTGCACCTAGGTTGTTAGCGTGAGCTGCGTGCGATCTCTCTCTGAGCCCAAGATGAAAGAAGTAAAAGGAAAGGAAGCGCTCAATGTGAAGCTTGCATTTGTAAGAAACAGGCGTGGGATGCCAAGGAGTGGTCTTGGCACGGCTGGGTTGGGGGCGGGGATGATGACTTTTTCTTTCCTTTTTTCATGAGTGTCCCATGCTCAAGCTGGAGGAGAGATTAAAAACTACAAAAAGGACTGGGGAGGCTAAGGGTTAGATGTTAGATGAATTGTCTAGCAAAAAAACTACAAGAAGGAGCACATGTTCCTGATACATTTTGAATAGATAAATAATACTTTGTTTAAAACCTTCATTAAAAAAAAAAAAAAAAGTTAGCCATCGCAGGCCTGTAATCCCAGCAACCAGGGAGGCTGAGCAGAAGGATGGCAAGTTGGAGGCCAATCTCAGCAATTTAGCAAGGCCCTAAGCAACTTAGTGAGACCCTGTCTCAAAATAAAAAACAATAACAAGGACTGGAGGTGTGGCTCAGTGGTAAAGCACCCCGGGGTTCAATTCCTAGTACCAAAAAAAAATTGTTTTTAAGTCAACTTGATCTAAATAAATAAATAAATAAAATCAAGAATCAATAAATGGAATGGATTCAAACTAAAAAAAAAAAAAAAAGTTAACTTGATCAATTCTCCTTTGGAGTCAGTCAACTTCAGGCAACTTGAGAATCTTGGGGTACACAATGGAATAGGGTATGTATTGCAGCACTGATTGTAGAAGCCAAGTCTGAAAGTCACCCAGAATGTCTGTCAGGAAGGACAAGTGAAATACATTAAGAAACATCCTGAAAGAGATAAGAGGCCACCATGAAAATTTCGGTTTTTTTTCTACCAGGGAGCACTCTCCAGGAGACCTAAGTGAGAGAGGAAAGGCAGAAGAGTGTGCAGAAGGACAAGGGACTGGATAGGTGACATGGCTGACACACAGGTGTATATTTAGGACAAAGACACGGAAAAAACTGCTGATCTGCATCGGGGTGGGTGTCACCTTTTATGACATTTTTTAATTTGAATGTATTACGGTGGTTTTCCCTAAAATTGACAACTAATATGTAAAAATACATATATTAAAAATTGCCTGAGAAAGACACTTCAAGTTTGTTTGTTTTTTTAAGTCTCTAAATGATACCAAAGGAATATTTAAAACAGAAGGAGAGATAAAGAGAAAGGGAGGGAGGATATCTCTGGAAAATGTCTGAGGGAGAGGGGGTCCCACTGTTCAAAGTAGTGGTTGGCCCTATCTGGTGAGATACGGAGCATCTCGTGGCAGGGAGCAGAAGCAGCCAGAGGTACTTTAACACCAGTTCCTTAATTTTATACTATTCGAACATTTTAAAGGGGTGATGTATTAGCTCTATGTTATATTTTTAAAACCAAAGTGAGAAAAGGAGAGCAATGATCAAAAGCCAATGACCAAATGCTGCCCCGCAATACAGTGCGCCCGGGGCAGCTCCACCTCCTTGCCGGGTCCTGGGTAGACCTCCTCTGTCCGCCTGCTTCATGCTGCGAGGTCAGACGTCATACTGCAGCGGACGGCTTCCCCTCTTCCTCCGTGTTATTTGCTGGGACTGCCCCCAGTGGCAGCAGTGGCCTTGTCGCTGTCTTTGTTCCAGCTGGAGCCTGAAGAGGTTCCGCGTCCTGGGGCGTGGGAGCGACGGGCAGCCTGCGGGAGAGCGTCCAGCGGAACCTGCCCGTGTTTCCCAACTGCCCTGCGCGGTGGAGGCGCACTCGAGTGACCCCAATAGCAGGAGTGCAGTCACCCCTGGGGGCAGAGCTGGGCGAGGCTGAGCTGAGAAGGCTCGGTCTAAGTGGGGCTTGCGATCATAAACGCGACCCCAGGCAAGTGCCCCGACCTTCCCAGCTAGCCCTCGGAGGGTCTGGGTCGTTTCCTCCGGCCCAGGGCGTGCATTAAAATAATGTAGGGGGGAAGCGGGGCGGGCCGTGGTGAGATGATGTAAAAAGTCTCCATCCTCGTTTCCGGGCGCAGTTCACCTCCTGAAATAAACGCCACGTGCAAATGCGCACCATCCGCTTTCTGGGATTGATAGCAAACACAGAAGGTCGCCTAACAGCCTTAATCACTTCTGCATGTGCCGTTTTCGGGCGAGGGCACGCGGGGAACGAAGTTGATCACCCTTCGAACTTGCCGCAGTTCCGGGATGTGCCCCCTTCTGGCGCAGCTTGTCCTCCCGCGGTTCGCCCTCCCCACACGCTGTTTGGGAAATCTCAACACTTAATTTATAACTTTATTAATTTTTGTATTCGGGAGGGCGGAGTCACGTCCCGAAGCCAAGTTTATGCAAATAAGGACTGTCACCGAACGACCCCGGGGTTTGAAATGCAAAGGGAAGGGGGCCACGCCCGGCGTCCGCCCAGGCAGCTGGAATTCCCTGTTCTTTCTGAACACTCGAAAATGCAATGGCTGCGCTCGCAGGTATTTCTCAGAAATCCTTTCGATTCCATTAAATGTAGGTGAAATGCTAAAATAGAGCGGGAGTCGACTGTCTCTCAAGATGAAAAAAGGAACTACCGGCTATTGTCTGACCTCCCCGGTGCCTAATTGACTAGTAGAAGTCCTATCTCCATGGGAACAGATAAATGTCTGCTTGTCATGCCGAGAAACAACCAACTCAGCCCGGGGAACCTCACCAACCTAGCACTTTATTTGGGCGGCCCTAAGCAGCCTCTCCCTTTTCATGTTCAGCCAAATTATCTGCCAGAATTTCTTTTCAAGTCTAAGGAGGGGGGAAAAAGAAAGAGCTTCCTTCCCCCTCCCCCTTCTGCATGGAGTTAATTACTGTATTTTCATCTGGGAGAATGGAAAAAAATTACACACGGAGCTGAAATAACACACAAAACAACGGTGGTGTGTTGTATCTGCCTGTTGTCAAATAGCTTTTGGTAATTTTTTTCCCCCCGAAGTTGTCTGGGTCGCTGTTGTGCCAGTAGGTAACAATACAGCCTCAGAAGAGAGCCCAAGGAACCATCCGTTGTTTCTTTCTTTCTATCTTTCTTTTTCTTTTTTTTTTTTTCCTTTTAAACCTTAGACAAGTGGACAGAGGTTCCTGTTTCAGTGGAATCTGAGAGATGGAGGTAATAGGAAGGAAAGGAAAATTTGCTGAAGGCTCTTAGGTATCTTCCTCCCTTCCCCTAAAAATCCCCAACATCTGCCATTTTGACTCTGATGCTGATCCTGTGCTCTCTGCCAGTAAAACTAAGGAACAGCCCTTGGGAGGTCAGGGGCTTTCTGCCCAGTTTCTGTGCTTGGTTAAAAATACCACCGGAAGCAGCATTTTCTGGTGATATTGCAACATTTCCAGTCCAGCTTCTGGATCTGAGGAAAAAAAGAAATAAGGGGGAAAAGCAAAGGGGAAGGAGTGGAGGTGGAATAGAAAAACATGGATATAAATAGGTCTATAGATTTTTCAAACACAAGATCAAACTCTTAGAGGGAAAAAGTCATAGCCCATTTGATTCTAAAACTGGGCACAAGAACATGCGCAGGTTCATTATTTCCCTGGAATCTATTTACCAGCTCCTTTGTCACGAGGCTGTTTGGGTCTTTGTCTCTCCTCTTCCTCAGCACCTCCACCCACCCACCCAGCAAGTCTGAGCAGGAAGTGTCTAAAGACTAGTGAACTGCAAACCCACTAGGCTTTTTTTTTTTTTTTAATCCAGGTTAAAGATACCTGCAGGTATTTGTGGATGTAGTAATCAAGTCTCAATTCCAGCTCTTCCGGGGACATGATTCCTAAATATCCAACCCCAGTGGTCTTTATCTGGCCCAGCTGCTTCTGATGTGGAGAGGAATGTGGCACATCAAGTGTGTGAACACTGCCTCCATTGTATCCAGACCAGCGATGGAAGCCGGGATAATTGGCATGTAACCTTCTCTATTAACAGTGCAGACAGATATGTGAATTCGCTGAATCCCTTCGACATATGCCATGCATTAGCTAAAGGGGCTTAGAGTTCTCCTGACATCTTGGCGATTCACTGATAATTAGGCTTTCGGACTTGATAACTTTGTGGGGAAAATCAATAAATAATAGTGAAGTTCAGTACTTTCTCTGAATAAGAAGTGGCCCTGTCATTGAAAGTCTAACACTGACAGTGATCATTGCCGATCATGTGGGAGGTGGAGGGGTAGGGGCTGCTGAAGCTGGGTTTCTGGAGGAGATTATTAAATCTTTATTTAGCCTGTATGGCCACCAAGGTGAGCGAATGGCAGAGGATACTTATCCATGTCCGGCTTGAAGATCTTGTGAAGGGATATACCCTGCTATAGTTTGAAACACTAAGGGAAGTTATTTAGAATATCTGCTTCTAATCCTAGCTTAGCTCACATCTGCTCCTAAGACTAGAGGAAGTACCCTGGGCTGGTGGGTAAAGGCATCAAGCGCAGCAAGGCTTCCTGGTTTAATGCACAGCTCTCCCACGTACTAGCTCGGGGCTCTCTGTCAGACTCTCTGTGCCTTGGTTTCATCATCTGGAAAGTGGGACAAGTAATCATTTCTATTCAATTAGGACTTGCTAAGGGTTCATAAATTGTTACTTCTAAGATTTCCAGAAAAGTACAGTGTATAAGTACTTTCCTCTTTTTATTTAGTAAATATGTGCAGAAAGTATTTTTCAGCTGCAAGTTGTAACTTGTATCTATAGATAGCAAGATCCCTTTAATGGGTCTCAGCTATTGCTTTTCAATGAACTAAAGGAGGAAAGATAGAATAGAATAGAATAGAATAGAATAGAATGGAGTGCATGGCATAGAGGAAAAGTAAGTATTATTTCATAAATCATTTAACTATATAAATGGGGGTGAGATATATGGGCATACTGTGTCCCAATGTAAAAGTATTTTTTTAGTATTTATTTTTAAAAAATTGTTGAACAACATGCAATAATTTAAAACCTGGAAATATATATATAT